ATGATTTTAATCTTTTCATTCAATTGTTGAAGGTAATTGTTGTTTTAATCTTTTCATTCAATTGTTGAAGTTAATTATTGTTTTGATTCAATGATTTTAATCTTTTCATTCAATTGTTGAAGGTAATTGTTGTTTTGATTCAATGATTTTAATCTTTTCATTCAATTGTTGAAGTTAATTATTGTTTTGATTCAATGATTTTAATCTTTTCATTCAATTGTTGAAGGTAATTGTTGTTTTGATTCAATGGTTTTAATCTTTTCATTCAATTGTTGAAGTTAATTATTGTTTTGATTCAATGATTTTAATCTTTTCATTCAATTGCTGAAGTTAATTATTGTTTTGATTCAATGATTTTATTTTGATTATAGTTGATTGATCGATTGTTGTAAAGTTCAATTCAATTTGAAAAGATAGATAATTAACTTTAGTTATGGTTGGTTAGTTCAATTATTGTACAGTTCACTTGTTATATCTGATTTTTGTTTGAGTAATTTTTAAATTACTGTTTCTCAAGGTTTATTTATAGATGAATTAATTGGATCTTACTGAGAAATGTATTTTATTTGGATCTTATAACGTCAAAAAAAACGAGGTAACTGCTAATTGTATTGGATTCGTATTGGACTATTTTAATTCTAGGTCGTCGTTATTTTGCTTATATTTTGCTCGAAAAGGCTAATTCAATCAATAATTAACTGTGTTTGATCTTCAGACATATATGATAAGAGTGAGTAAAAAAAATAAAATTTTAACAGGAAATTCATTATTACACAAAATCGATTAAAACAAGATTGATTCTCGTCAATTGTAGTTGATAAAGTAAAGATGACAAATAATCTTAGCAGCTTTTAATTGGTCACAGATGACAAATACTTGAAGAAATTATCTCAACAATTTTGACTGGTCAAACCTGAGAAAGAATTAAATCAAACACAAAATTTGATCATTGATTTTTCTTGTTTCTAAAGGTGAAAATCTCTTATTTGTGTCTTTTATAATTGGTTTGATCTTGAACGACCTTATTTTGGTAAAGTTCAGAGAGAGAAAATAAAGAAAATGCAGTTCAAAAGTGGAAGAAACAAACTGGAATACACTTTCCCTAATGAATATCGTAATTTGGTCACTTGAGTCTTGCTTAAACAATTACTCTCATCTTACCAAAAGTGAAAATATTAGGTGGTTTGATTTCTCTTGTACTTATTAAAATGGAAGTAAAATGTATTTTAAAGGTAAAACCAGATTAAGTTTAAAATATGAATATGAAATATGAAATGTATAAAAACAGCACTTATCTTTTCCTTTCAATTTGATCTCCTTTGATAATGGTTACCAGGTTGGGTTGAAGAAAAATGGATTTCCTTTTTGATTTCTCTTTTGTCTGATTGATTTAATTTGATATTTTATTAAGTTTATTTAATTGACAATGAAAGCTATATATACTCAATCAACAAATATGGAACCAGAAAGGTGATGAGTAGAATTTCCACTCCTTGATCTATCCGCAAGGTTGTAAGGTTGAATTAACCAATTCCACTTTAAATGAATTTAAAGTACTTTTAATTTAACTAAATTTTGTTACAAGATCAGTTGTTTAACTGATTACAACACTTTATTCATTTAATCAGTTTGTCCTTTGATTACTCTATTCGAGTCACTTTGTATCTGTTACAGTTGTTTTTTTATTTTGAAGGTCTTAAATTTCACTTAGGTTTTAACTAATATAATGTCACTTTTATATTAACACCACTGATTTTGTTACGTAGTAAATATTACTAATGTAAGATCATTTTTTTTAAATTTTTAATGAATCACATAACAAATAGATCTCGGTGGGACCTCCAATATGGAAAGAAAATAACTATTATAAAACTATTGCAATTAATTGCCACATAAACACTTTATTAATAAAAGTAGAGCGGCACTTGGGTAACTTTTCCCCGACTTTCCATACCTAAAATGGCCGAAAACTGGCCATTATATGGTTAGTGAGGGAGATTATCTTCTCCCTTATCTTCATCTTCTTCCTCAAATTTCATCCAATAAGGATAACCAGGTACCACGTGAGAGGTGGTACCTGGTTGAACAAAGAAACTGGTGGTGTAACCAGTTTGGTTACAATACCATTGAGTTGGCCATAAAAAGTAGGTCTAGAAAAATAAGGTCTGATCGGTGCATCATATGGTCCCAAAGAAATGCCACCGCTAAGTTTAGTTTGTTTCCGTGAAAAATACCGAAAAACCCGAATAACTCAAAAACGCATGGGTCTACAAGTAAACTGAGTACACTGTTGAACTTGTCATAAAAAGTTGTATCTAAAAAGTTGGGTCCAATTGGTGCATCATAGTGTCCCAAAAAAGTTACATTTAATTCCCAAGGGAAAAAAATTTTTTATTCTGTCCAGCCAGTTCGACTCAGTTCACCGAGAGCTTTCGATTGATATCTATTTCATAAAATTCGGAAAAGTTCAGTAAAAAATCCCATCATTTAATTTGCATCGTAACAATTACTAAATAGTAACTTTTGTAGGCGAAGTTAATTTGAGGTTATTCAATGAATAATGACCTATATACATTAATAAGTGTTCTGGTCGTGGTGACAGGATAATCAATCCCATTTACGAGAATTGAAATGATTTTTTCAGCTAAGAAAATGATCTGAAGTTAGTTAAATTCGGTAAGGCATAAGATATGTCCGTCGGCTCAAGAGTCTCTCTTTAAGCTGATTTTCTTCTCGGCTTGAGACTGGAGGCTTTTCTAGAAAATTAATTAAATTTAATTTCGAATAAATTTTGATAATTAAAGAAATAATTTTTAATCAATATCAATAGAATCAGAAGAAAATGGATTATTTTTTAAATGTTGAAGTGTTACTTCAAAGTTAAGAGCAGGTTGTTTTCTATTGTGGTACTTTTTTTTGTACAAAAATTCGACTAAATGATCATCGCGATTTGGTCCATTTGTCGAAGTTGGTATATGTTCTTTCAATGACCTCCAATTTCGTTCAATTGTTTGAGTGTGTACATTTTTATCACGAGGATTCAAAAAATTTTCATTATGATTGACATACGCATGGAAGTAATAATGATGATTTAGTTTCTGATAAGATTTCCACCCGTCAGAATAAATTGTTGTTCCTGGTAAAATTTTCCTCTTAATTACCTCTAATAATGTCTCTTCTCTTCGGTTCGGAACAACTTCGGCAAAAGCTAATTTAGATTGTCGTTCGATTCCACCGAAAACCCAAACTTGTTCCACTTGATCCTTAGATAATCGACCCTTGTTACTTTTTCTTTTATAGACCATTGTCTCATCTATTTCGACCTCTTTTCCTATTCCTCCGATCATTTTTTCATTTTTATTCATGACATTAAAACACATCTAGTGAGAAAACAATTAAAATGATCATTAATAAAAATTCGAAACTTTTCGATTAATCGAAAAATTTTCGATAATCGAATGAATCGTCTAAATGTTTCAGGTCACAGGTCAGTAAGTATATGTCATAGAAAAAAAACAAGAACAGATCCTGAACGTACGTTTCAAGCTGATTCAGAATATATATGATGTTCATGTAGTTCGGCTACATTTGAGTTGAAAGTTCAATCGTGTCAAAGTATCAAAAAAATCGACAAATTGTCGAACGTTTAATAAAATAAAAAAACAACAAATGAAGCAAAATTGAATCTAAATATATCACTGAATTGCATTTTTTACGCTGATTAAGATGAATTAAACAAAAAAACTCAGACCTCAATATTTAAAAAAAAGTTACCAAATTGTGATCAAACTCACCTGTCGTAATAGTTTAAAGTGGTGAGCAATAGTTGGTTCAGATATCCCTAAGTCGAGAGGCCATTGAAATGGTTTTGTTACTACACCAACAGAAAATCACCTTCAAAAACATCAAAATGTCGAGTTTCGATTTCTCGAAAATAGTCCCTTTTGTCCAATTTAATTGCTGTCGACACTTTCGGCAAACAAATCCCTTACCAAACTTTGATTGTTTAATTTTTCTCATCACCATTGTACCACTACAGTCACTTTTAAAACAATTTTTGGGTAAATGACCAGGAATTAAACCTGAGTCAACAATATAATTTAAGCCCGGAATATCATCATTGGGAGAAACAATTACACGATCAAAATTAACTAAATTAAGTTTATCTTTTGATGACATTTTTGATTCTTTAATGTTTTTATTAAGAAAATTATTTGTTTTACAATTTAGAGTAAAATGTGGTCTAATTTGCGCCTTAATTGCCTAATAAAGTGTCACCTATTATGTGATTTTTTAATTGATTGTTTGATTAAATTTAAATTTAATTAATTTTCTAGAAAAGCCTCCAGTCTCAAGCCGAGAAGAAAATCAGCTTAAAGAGAGACTCTTGAGCCGACGGACATATCTTATGCCTTACCTTAAATTCTAATAATAATGTGACATTCATTATTTGGATCAAAATATTAATAGTTATCGAGTTGAGAACTTTTAAAAAAGCCATTTTCTCAAAACTTTTGAAATTGAAAGGAAAAGTTAAATCCAAGTTAACGAAATAGTCAAAAACATTACTTGTGATTAATCAGCTGCGATCATCTGATAATCAAATGATCTAAATAAAAATAATCCGATATGCAAATTAAGAAACAAAATGCATCCAATCTATGATGGTTCAGGTCTACTCTTGTGAGGGACTCTTGAGAGGCATCAACTAAATTTGCTTAATGAAACCTGAATAAAGAATGAAGATCCACATCATCATACAGTTAATCGTATATCATCAATTCACTAATTATCGATATTTTGTTTATTTGATTTTAATAGTTGGTCTTTTATTATAAAATGATTGAGATACGAAGTTGGCAACGTAACTTTACCTTGAAACTTGGTAACTTGGTTTTGGTGGACGAAGCATTTCCCATATTGTCCGAATACGCTGACCATTTACTCAACTTTGCATCGTATCAAAAAGTATCGTTCAATTAAGATGAAAACAGGTCAAATAGTATTGCTAAATATTAAGATTATTATTGTTAGATTGGTTTAAATTAATCAACCATAATTAAATTTTATTATTTGAATTCAACTCAATCCATCAATTAAATTCAAGTTTAATTTTGGCTCCTCTTTGAATTGAGAAAATTGAATGGACTGACTTCTCTAGTTGTTAACTAGCTTTTTCATTTTGTTGGCTTGATCAATAGATCATCTTTCTTGATTTTTTGTCTATGAAACATTCAATTCAGTCAGTCCATTCATATATAATGCCCAATGCAGATCAAAACAGGTCAAATGAATTATAAAAATTAATTTGGAAACAATCAACTGATTGATAATCGTAATGTTTTTTACTCTTCAGCTTTCGGTTTAACAGCGGCTTCAATTGGTCGAGCTACAAGTTAATAAATTGGCAATAAGATCGTTAATAACTTGGGGATTATTAATATTGTTATTTACTCACTTTGACAAGTACCATTGTAAAATGTAACATCATCGATTGCATATCCTCCATCAACCGCTTCCCCTTCAACTAGAATCTAAAAGATAATTTAATTTGCAAAATTTTAATTATCAACGCATTTGATTGTTTTCCTTTTCTATTTCTCTTACCTGGTAAGGTGTTTCTCCGTTGATTGTAACCTGGCCATAGTACCAAAGAGATCTTCGAGTTTCTAAAAATCGAGCTTGAATTGACCATAAAAGAGTTCGAGGCTCTTTCTCTTTGCTCGATTCTCCGGTTGTCGATGCACTTGGTGCTGGTGCTGTTGCTGCTGCGGGTGTTTCAGCGATATCAGTGTCCGAAGCTGTTTCTCCTCCACTTATTTGGTAAATGTTCAATGTGGTTGATTCACCTCGTCCAAATCCTGAGAACCAAAAGCTGATACAAGCCTTGGTTACATCTCCAGTTATCGCTGGAAACTTTGGACTTCGTAGACTTGGACTTTGTAAGGTATTCTGATTGAAAACGTCAAAGTAAACATATCCCACCGGTGCTCTAAAGGTGTGATCTTGAAGATTTGCTGGACGTACATTGGGTGTTGCCAATTTCCATGAGACTGGAAGTACTTTTGGATCATTAAGACTTGACCTTATTGAGGAAACTGCATTTTTATGAGCAATAAGTGAATCTTTGGCCGCTGAAGATGATAATAGTTGACCTGGTTTACTAATTGGAAGTCGCGTTTCATTTTTCCAGCCACAAAGAGTCTTATCGAATGAACATTCGCCTGAAACAGCTTCAGCATTCACCGGAATCGCTTTTGTTTCAAAAGAGAAAAAAATGAAATCTCATTAGCATTTAAATTAAAAATCGAAATGTATTATTTTTCTTTCTTACCTTTACAATTACCATCGAAAAAGCTTATATCATCCAAAGCAATCGATCCAACCCTTGCGTCGCCCCAAATACCTTCGATTACCACTTGGTACACATTCTTGGGAGATTTTACCTTCTCCTCGTCACCTTCTTTAGTTTTCACCCCCAACGGGACTTGAGCTCGTCTCCATTTTAACGATTGATGATTATTCAATTTCCAGATTGGTATTAATATCGTCTCACCATAGTCCCCAACCGTCCGAAGGTATACTCTAAGTCCACCAAGATTTGGTCCACCAGGTTCAATGACCCGTTGGTACATAAAATAATAAAAGGACATACACTTGGGAAGATCAGGTGAGGTCTCGAATTCTGGGCTGACAATCCAGGCTGAAGTACCTCCACGTTGTGGTTGAATAGCATCACCATTTAGACTCAAAAAGTAACCGTTTGCATTTTCTTAGTATGGTCATGTTTTGGTCCATAACTACCGAAACTAAATTGCCGAATCCAATCAAAATCATCTAACCCACTATGAGGAAGTGGATTTGTCCAGTAGCACATATTTTCCTCGAATGTACAATCACCCGATTTTCGTGCAGCCGTTTGAGGTGAAACTGAATTAGCAAATTGAATAGAACAACGTAAAGATAGTAACAGCCAAGAGACCATTCAATTAGAGACAGATATTAAATATCTTAGAGAAATGAACTGATAACTATTGGTCAATTGCGTGTTTGAATAAATTACTGATAAATGATTATTATGATTAACCAAATAATTAAACTGGACCCAGAAAACATTTGACTGACCATAGAAATGACCCATATCATTTTCATCGTTACAAAGAAAAACCTTAACCTTTATTATGAACACATTGAATTGAGGTCATTTCCGAAGATCATGGTTTACCCATTAGCATTTTGTCTTCTCCCATTGACCAACAAACTGACCATCACCATGAATAGATTATCATTATCAGGAAATAGTTGACGTTTCATCTTTATCATCTTCATTATCCTTTCGTGAGCCATTAAATTGGATCAGATGAAAACTGGGTTACCCATATGATCATTATCATATAACATTGTCACCTAATTAGGTTAACCTTTAACTGACCAACTAATGAATAAGAAAAATAAAACTGAGCAAATAAACTTACTTGGACAAACACCTTGTTCAATTGAAATGCTATCGATTGCAATATTACCCAGGTAATTTGGTCCAATGATACCTTCAAATATAATGTTAAAAGCCACTGAAGATGCGATCGGTAATTGAGCTTGGTACCAATTGTTTCCCGATTCACCGGACATTTCCCATAGAACTTTATCTCCAGAGGCTTTATCATCTTTAGGTGCTTCTGTTGGACGGTACTTAACTCGTAAAGTGCCAATACCATTGCCGTACATGTGAGTTGCAAATTTAAAACAGAAAGGACCGTTTTCTGGATCATAATAAGAAGGTAAGAAAACAAAGACATAAGAAAAACAAGAGAACATTAAAATTTGAATTTTTCTTTTTTCTTTTACTCCTTACCTGTGGGTGGAAATGAAGGTGATATTAGTACCGCTTTGTCCCCAGGTCTTCGTGGATAAGCAGCATTAATGTACAAAAATCCACCCAATGGATACTCTTTACTGAAACTGTAATAATCTCGAGCTGGTCCAGTGAAAAAATTGTCTGATCCTCGACCCAATTTCCAATCAAAATCATCAGTCTCTAGCTCATTCGTCCAGCCACACATTCCACCTTCAAAGGTACAATGTCCATGACAAACTCCTTCCGTTTCCTCTAAAGGTGATATTTGAATATCATCAACAGCAATATAACCACGATAGGCACGTTCAGGTTCACTGGAACTCTTGGCAATACCCTCCAATACAATCTATGAAATCAAATAGCGTTGAAGAAAATCCAAGTATAAGTTCCAATAAATTCATTATTCAGAATGTTAGTTAAAAACAACTTGAAGATTAATGATTGATCAGTTGCAATCACCTGATAATAAGATGATCTGACAATAAATATCCGATATGCAATTTAATTGCAAAAACGGTTCATATCTGATTCAGTTAGGCTCTTAAAGAGGATAAAAATTCCGACTGAATTGTCTTGCAAAATCTGAATAAAAAAAATGAGGATTCCTCATTGAATAATATTCAGTCATCTCTGTATAGTAGGTTATTTTTTCTTACAAAGAAATAGAACTTTGTCAATATATATGATTCGTTTGATATCCGAATACTTGATTGAGATGAATAAAAAACTACTTCTAGCCTATTGATTATTTCTAATTAGAAGAATTAATTAGGATTAATGGACTAATCATACTAATTGTTAATCTTTTTACCAATAATCGACCGACTACATACGAGAATGAATTGAGGAAGTAGAAGAGTAATAATTGAACGAAGATCATGATGATTAAACTCAACTGAACATCAACCACTAAAAGGTAAACAAACAATATGCTTGATTTATGATTAACTTCCTGTTGAGTTTTCTGTTTTCAGTCCAACAATCAATTCCATCTCAATCTAATCGCATTTATCATTTGGATGATGATGAATGTTGACATTTAGTCAACTTAGTTTTCGTTTTTATAGCATCACAATGTGGATACATTGAAAATTCAGTAAATTCGTTTAAAAAATCTGCACTTTTTTTTCATGTTTGGAAAAAGTTTTCGAATTGATTTATGGTGATTTTTTTTCGAAGTAAATTATATATTAGATTATCCATTTTTTACGATTTTCATGTAACCATGATGGTTGTTCATAATGACAAGATGATATTATATTCATCTTTATGATAATAATGATTTATTCAAATACCCTTGGGAGGTATTGGAACTTTTTTCCGTTGTGTTCGAATATTTTTTTATAAATTTTCGAATTTTTTTCTTACCTGATGATAAGTTTCATAGGTATATGCAACTTCTGCTTTGATCCAGACTCCATCAGTGTGAGTTCGTGACTCCCAAAGAGTTTGATTGTCCATAGTTTCCGTATCCTTGACCACTAATCTTAACTTGTCCGCTGAAAGTCCATCAATGTTGAAAAAAAATCCAATACAATGACCTACAGGTCCAGTTCGAGTAATGTTTGAACTAAGAAGATGAGCTCGATTGGGAATGGTCACTATTGGATCGTCAAAGGTTAGCCTGAGTAAGGGTTGTTTGAAGACCGATAGCTTATCAGCTAGTCGACTACCCAATGAAGAGCCGCTGCCTCCACTTCCTTGTGAGGCCATTAAAGTCCTTGAATCTGAGCCCGAAACTGCAGCTTGTCCATTTACAAGTCCGCCTGGACCTAAATTACCTGGTAATCCACTAGTAACTCCACTCATTCCTAATTGACTATTTGTTGAGTTAACATTTCTAAATAGATCATCTCGAGCTGGAATCTTGACCGAAGCGGTTTTATCACTTTCCAAAGCGGCACTTGAGAAAACCCGGTCGATAATTTTATAAGACGTTTCAAAGTAAATATAACCACCTTGGAGCAATTTAAATGATAAATCATCAGATAAAGTGAGCATTTAATTATAAATTTCTCAATTTTAACTTACCATTAGCATCTCCAAGTGTGTGGTCAGTCAAAGGTCCGCCAAGCCAATAGGCAGTTGTACCCTGTCCTTTTGACCAGTGAACATTTGGATGGTCATCTTCAGGGTAAGTCCATGAACATTCCGTTAACAATGAACCTGAGCCAAAATCACAGAGTAAAGTTCGAGATTCATCTTCAACCCCAGCGGCATTTTCCGCCTGACGCTTGAACCGTGTTAATGGTCCAGTTTCAGTATCAAACCATGATAATACCCATAAGATGGACACGATAAAAGTGAAAAAACAATCAAACTAATCAATACAATTGCCTGGTTATTACAAACATAACAGAAGATTAAATCCATTTTAAATTGTTCACTAAATAAAATTCACAATTTAAATGTCAATTTAAAAAGCAAAATCAAACAGAACCTCGAGAGTTAATCAACACCTTCAATTAACAGTGGAACCGGTTAATCAACTAGTTAATCAAAATTATCACCAAAATGTTGAGCAGGAAATCAATGTTAATTTTATCAACTATCACAATCAGTTGATTGCACTGATCACAATTAATTGCAACACACTCGCAAAACTGGTTAATTTTAAGTGAAAACTAATAAGAAACTGGTTACATTTAATTGAAATAGAAACTAAAATGAACAAAAATTTAAATAAATTCAATTGAAAGTAAAAATCCAATTGATGAAAGCTAACAATTAATACTCACCTTAATTATTAGATAATCAAATCAAATGACCACAAGGTAACCATGGGAATGACCAGAGGAAGATCAAATTTGAGATGAATTTTTTTCCATAGGAATCATATTAATCTAGGCTATTAAATGAATCATTATTAATATTAAATAATCGTTTTCTATGCCTCCCTCCATGATTAGTTGATTATTATTCATGGTTAACTGATCAACTAGTTCATTAAAACAGGTTAAATTAAGTTAATTAGGCCAATGGATTTTGTTAATTGTGATGAAAGATCACAAAATGATTACACTTTTGAAAACAATTGAATCAAAAATCGTAACTAATTAAAATAATTTTGTTGAAAGTTTTGTAATTAGTTTTTTAATATTTGCTACAATTATTAATAATTGTAAAAGTGTCTAATTGATTAATTGTGGTTTCAATTAATCGACAAAATGATTAAGGTGATCAAATCTTAACAGTTTTCCGTGTACTTTATCATTAATAAATTGTGATAATCAAACAAAAAACCCCGATGATAATTAGTAAATTAGCACGCGATTCCTGATGAATGATTGTGTTCATGAGGTTCATGGTTAATGATGATGAGATAATAGTTCAATCATCATGAAGAAGATAATGAAAATGTCTGAGTAAAAAAAGTTCATGAGTTTCATGATTGAACGGAAAGAGATAAATGTTTATACTCATTCCAATAAACCTAAACTTTATCCTCCTACACTCTTATCTGTATCTCGCCATGATCATGATGATTATCTGATGGCTTCAATCATATTAAATGAGTTAAAAGTATCAAATTGATTTAACAGTTAGGGTGGAAATCAAAGATGAAACTTATATAAAAAAAAACTCAGAATTAAGGGGAGAAAAAAAGTTCCATGAAATGTTATCTCATTCAGAGGTAATATCAGAGTGACTGAGCTACAGAATTTAAAGTGAATGGCATTCGAAAATGTTTCAATGATGAGAAGATGATGATGGGAAGGATAAGGAAGAAGAAATGATGAAAAAAAGTTCTGAAAGAAAATCAGTAACTTGAAATATCGATCAAAATGTTCAGATTCTTTGGTGAAGATTTTTTTCTTCTTCTTTCTTGAAACTGAGTCTGAGCTAAATAAACAATAATGGTAACATCTCACTACGATTATCATCATTGACGATGATAATCACATTGGCTTTTGACTGTTATTACAATTTAACAGCAATCAAGTAAACTTATTAAAATCTATCATGATTTAATTGTGTTTGCTGAACAATCAACTTTGATTCTGTAACAAATTTATCTTTTTTTTGTGAGCATGAAATTAAAGTTAATCTTAATCATTTGGTTCGATTGTTATGTTGTTTGTTAATTGTTGTGTCAAATTGATAAAGTGAAATGGAAATATCAACAATTGTCAATCATAATATTTATCAATTACTTTGATGGATTAATTTTCACTGAAATCAAAAGTTATAAAGTTTTTAATTTGTGTTCATTGGATTAAATTGTTTATAAATATTAAAGATAAGTTAATTTATTCAATTCGTATGAAAGAAATTCATAATGTCATCATCAGGACGAGTTTATCATGTTGGTGACTCGATAGAAACTAATTTCGGTAAGTAATTAATAGCTCTTAATCACCCTTAGTATCATTGATAATTAGCATAGATACAGTAAAGAAACTATATAAAGCAATTAGTGAAAATGATTAACTCTCTGCTCTTGACAGTTGCGATATGATTAACCAATTTACATGAGTAAATTTGGTCTTATTTGTAGCTTTTTAATGGAAAACAGATAAATTGTTTTCTCTTCATCATTAATATCTCTCTCTCTCTCTCTCTCTCTCTCTTACTACTCAACAGAATCATTTTGTATTCCACCACCGATTCCTCCCTCCCTTCAGCCAACACTTCCTTTACCTCCTCCACCACCGGTCTCACCCGCTGCAACCAATACAACAACAGCTACTGAGATGGGATCAGTGAGTATTGACCGTTTTGACATTATTGCCCCGAGGCGACCATCAAGTCTCAATGGGATCCAATTAAATTCAAAAGCTTCAGAACTAAACCATCAGTCAATTCCAAATCAGCACTTTTTCAATCGAGAATCAATCACTAACCATCACAATCAATCAATTAATCACCAAAATCACCAGGAACACCATCGTAATCATCACCCTAATCATAAATCTCATCGTAAATCAAGTATAATAGGTAATTAACTGCTAATAAAAACTTCTCTAAAATGTCCCGTTCCACATTTCGAAACGAAATTGACCTAAACGATAATATATCTGAACTTGACTTGTAATAAAAAGATTTTCTTTCGTCAATCAATAGACCTTAATAAGACATATATTTGTACAAAATTTCATGTCTGTATCTACCACTGTTCTCGAAATATAAGCTCGACGGAGATTGTGGTCGAAAGGGACATTTTAGAGAAGTTTTGATCTGACAAAACAAAGCTTTTTGATGTGTTTTACAAGAATCGCGACCTTGCTTTAAGTGCTACGAGAGTCCGTTTTAGGTGATACATACCCCTTTAAATGCTCAGAATTTGCTGTGAACTGTGACCCTTTTCTTCATGATATTGGCTTTATTTTTTCAGATTTTGAATTATATCCCACAGTCTTGTGATCCACATCAATTCACGTTTTACATTGAATATTATGAATTGTACTAATCTACGATTAAAAAGATTGACGACGAATTTAAGAAAAAAAAGAAACAACATTTAGCTTAAAAGAATTGTTCCATTTTAATTATCATCAATCTTTATGATACAACAATTCGATTAGTTTATTTAGTTCACGCATTCTATCCAAACTTGAGAATTCAATAAAGTTAATATGAACCATCCGGATTTAAAAATTGATATGGCACTTTTCTTGAAACAGGTTCATTAGTGGCCAATGAAGTTCCAAACAAACCAATCACAACTAATATTAGAGCTTGAATACAATAGTTGAAATTCATGATGATTTATCGTTGATTCGAGAAAAAGTTACTTGAGCACAAAAGACAATTAACACTTTGACTGTTGTTGTTAATCAAAACGATGATTGAATGAAAGTGATGATCTTTAAGTGAGTCATTAGTCTGCATTACTGATTGAAAGACAAATTTGTAAATTTCAATCCATCGCATGACCTTTTTTTACATTTATTGTTGGTTAATTACAAATTTTTGGATGCTAACTTAGATCTGCTAACCTGTGGGGGAAAAGTTTGGGACTTTTTGATCAAATACTCGTAGAAAGCGTAGTATTGAAGCTATTTTCATTAGTCTTCATTATACATTAATTTGATTGATTGATTTAGTTAGTTTTTCTTGTCAAATTGAGAATTCAAGAAATTCGCGTGGTTGGAAACCGATAAAAGCGCTTAGAACGATATGAATGTTGTTGTTATTCACGATGATTAGATGGGCAAAATGGAGACTTTGAAATGAAACAAATTAAACTGGTGATTAAAAAACTAGACCTTTGTCCTTCTTATATCATTCACAGAGGAAGTTCATTTGTCAATTGAATAAACATTGGTGATGAATTTCAAATATTAGTATTTTTCTCAGCTGAAAAAATGATAGTAATGATATACGATGTACTGAATGAGGATGAATCTTCATTCTTTATTCAGATTTTACTAAACAAACTTAATTGGTGCTTTTAGTGCCTCTCAGAAGCTAATCTAAATCATAATGAATTGAAGTCTTTTTTTTTTCCAAATAATTTACATATCGGATGATTTTCATTTAGATCATTTGATTATCAGGTGATTAATCATTAATCTTTAATTGACTTGAAAAACAAGTAAGATAATTAAATTAGATAGAAATAAAAAAAATTAATTGTTCTAAAAATTGTTTATTAACAAGAATAATCAGCATGTTCGTTGTATGTTGTGTTCTAAAGAGAAAAAGTTTGACATCAAAAATGTCTCAACAATTTTCATCTTTTTTTCATTTGAGTATTCATGTTACTCATTGAATAGAAACGAGGAAGCAAAATGGAAGCTTTCGAATCTTTTTTAAGATAAGTTACTAAAATTCGTAAATTCGTTTGAAATTCTGACAACCAATTTTTTTCTCTCGCTTGAATATTTGCAAGCGATTATCATGTAAACAAGACGATTTTATCATACATCAATCAAAGGATATCGATTATTGAAAAAATTCAGAAAATTGTCGACTTTGTTGAGAGAAAAGTTCGAAATTCAAAATCAAGATACAATCATGACCCAATTAACGGTTCTCAGATTGTCAAAAGACAAAAAGTTTCCACATCAAGATACTAATAGTAAGAGAAAAACTTTTGAAAAAAATCGAGATTAAGTTTATCTTAGCCAATGGTCAACATAAATAATGATAATTGATTAAATTGTCTAGAACTTTATAAATTGATTGGTTGATTAAATTGTTTCCAATATCATGGGAAAGGCGAAAAAGAAACAAAAATTCAAAAGGAAAACTTATGAAATCAAATGTCTTGACCACTTACTCTTTAAGTACTGTCCAAGTGTCCATTAAGCTATAATGACCACTACTCGTTGGAAATTGACGATTACAATGTTGATTGCGAGTTGAAATTTTCGAATCGAACCAAAAACTCAAAGAATTCTAACTCAATTCAATAGCCAATCTACTAAAGTTCATGAAAGATCAAGTTTTATATTATACATATGATTATTGCAATCGAATCGTTGAAATCGTATGAGCCTCAAAATGTTCATAAAGGTAACCCTTGAACTTTCGAGTTATTTTTTCTCTTGAATTCGAATTGAAAAAAGAAAAGTGAAATTTACATCCAACTTTTTTTCTCTATTCTTTTTTCAGCCATTCAGAACTTTCTCCTTGAATATCATGAATCTAACATTCATCGGTGATAATGATAATGTTACATTGTTATATTCAAATTGTTATTAGTTGATTTATTGAATCGACTATTGAAATATTCTGATTCCTTGTATGAGATAACTGAATTCTATGAAGATATATACAAGCTTAATGTGATTATTTAACATGGTATGAGTAAGATGATTAGTTTATTGTATTCAGGATATAACGGTAATGATTATGATGTTTATGATGATGAATGTATGATTAGTTTAAGAATAAATCTCATGGTAAATTGATTATCATCAGTATCGTATGAACAATTGTTGTTGTCTTGGATTAACTAACGATTCTGATGATGATTATATTCAAATAATAATAATGATCATCGTCATTATCATTCAGGATAAAAGTTTAATCATCATGGATTTCAGAATATATAATTTATATCCTGAATTTTTTCTTATTCCAGATAAACATTTTCTCTTCCATGAAAATCAAATTAAACTTGGCTTATCAACATTGAATTTACTATCTTCTTGATTGATTATCAGATGATAATCATCATTATCTTCAATCAATCTCTGAGTAAATTTAAAAGTTTCACAGATTAATTAGCTTATATTGTAATTAGTGATCGCAAGGTGTTTGGAACTGTTTATGATTCTGAATATTATGAAGCAATTTCTTCTGTGATTTTTGGTGGTGAAAAATGATCGTCATGATAAAGATGAAGATGATGAAATTACTCAGAAGAAAAGTGTCAAGATTGATGGTCAAGTCTCATGAGCATCTTTTTTCTATATGTGTTTGTGTGGATTGTCATTATCAACACCCAACATGATGAAGTGAAAATAGTTTAATGATGAGCGAGGGAGGAAAAATGATGAGGAGGAAAAGGAAATCGCTTAAATTCAGTAGGTTGATGAAAGATTTTTCCTCTTGGTCTCTCTTTCTATTTCTTCACAATAAATTCAGTGGGAGAGAAAGAGGAAGAGGTTTGGGTGGTGGAAGATGTAATAATAATGTTTAATCATGAATGAACTATTAATATCTATGGAAAGAGATGATTTTGATTCTTGTTTTAACAACTCTCATGATAAATCATTCTCATGACTTTATCTTATTTTCATGATAAGATAAAGATGCGATGATACAGATTATGCTTACATTTGATGATGATAATGTTTCTTACTAAAGTAGATGATTTGTTTTCGGGTTCTTTTTGGGTTAAATGATTTCCCTATTATATGTTTTTGGGTTGATTAGAAAGCCTAATGACTTTTTGATTGAAGATAAATGAGAAGTTTTTTATTGCTTCTCTCTCTCTCTCTCTCTCTCTCTCTCTCTCTCTCTCTCTCTCTCTCTCTCTCTGGCTGATTATTTCAACAGATATTTACATTACGTGGTTGACTAATTTTCTGAAACTGCGAACCTTTGTCTCTATGACATCGGTTTTAGTTTCGAAGATCTTTAAAATCTTTTGTGGTCTTACCCGTGGACTCGTATTACCGCATCACTTATTCACTTATCGTTTCATCGACAACTTCGAAAAAGATTGAAATCGAATTTAAGAAAAAAAAGAAACAACATTTAAATGGAAAGAATTATTTTAACTTGATAATCATTAAACTGCATGATACAACAATTCTTTTATATTCATATTATATTAATATTTACATTATTATATCATTGTTGGTAGCTGATTTAATCATTTAGTCAAAAAAATTAAATCAAAGATTGGAGAATCATTAATTACTAATCAAACACACATTAATTGTTACTCAACCCAATAAAAGGATATAAGGTTGGGTCACTAGGTCCTTGATTGTTGGATATTTGTCTCGATTCTCTTGAAAGAGGTTCATTGGTGGCCAACGAAGTTCCAAACAAGCCAATATAAACGATGAGGGCAGCTTGAATATAATAGTTTAAATTCATGATGATTTAGCGTTGATTCGAAACGAAAGTTACTTGAGCACAAAAGACAATTAAGACTTTGACTGTTGTTGTTTATCGAAACGATTGAATGAAAATGATGATCTTTAGGTGAGAAAAGTTTCACTTTCAAAGCAGTTGCTGGAGAAAATTAATTTATCGATAGTTAGAGGAAATGTCAACTTGGCAACAACAAAGCTGATTAATTACCTGTGAAAATGAGTCACAACGAAACCAATCATTGGTATTATATTCCCTTTTTTTGGTCTATTGATCTAATCTGCCATCTTTACTTCTAGTTTAAGGTGACTGTCCTTTAGGTTCTTTCCGTTCTTTCCGTTATTTTCTAGTTTTTCTGTAGATTTTGACACAAACGCCATAATGTTTATCGTCTTCTCTAATTCACTCAGATCTACATGCTTACTACGAATTGTTTGACTGAAACAACTTTGAAAAAAGGGATTAGAACGATATGAATGTTGTTGATATTCACGATGATTAGATGAGCGAAATAGTGACTTTGTGTGCTTTTAGTGCCAATTAAGTGTAACTGTGACAGAATGTAGGCTCTTGAAAGGTGAGAGACGATAAATGAGAATATATTTGGCTGATTGGAAGAAGTGAATCTCTCTCTCTCTCTCTCTGCAAAATCGAAGTTCGTTTGGATACTTTACTTGATTATTATACTATCAAATCCGATTACTTTATGTTTAATTTTTCTTCATTTTCTTGTTGATTTTCTTTAGTTAATGTCACCGAAGATCCAGCTTTCTGTACACAATTTCTTACGCTGTTTTCGGTTGTCCTAGTTATCACCTCGTTACCTTTTTCTTTGTTCTTCTGTATAAAGGTAAAAAGCAAATTTCATTTCTCTGGTCGATTCAATTTTTCCGATAAATTGTCTGAATTGAATTTCTTGTTTGTTTAGGTTGTTCAAGAATATGAAAGAGCCGTCATATTTAGATTAGGTCGTTTGGTTTCTGGTGGTGCTCGAGGTCCAGGAATTTTCTTCATAATCCCTTGTATTGATACTTATTCAAAGGTTGACCTGAGGACAGTTTCATTTGATGTTCCACCTCAAGAAGTAATTAATTTGCTTGGGTTCTTTTGATTTCATTTGTGACAAAATACTTTGTGAGCTTAGAATTAATAATTTTGTTTCTTAATCACTTTATTTTCTGACAATCAGATATTATCCAAAGATTCAGTAACCGTTGCTGTTGATGCTGTTGTTTACTTCCGTATTAGTAATGCCATTGCCTCGGTGTCTAATGTTGAAGATTATGCTCGATCAACTCGATTATTGGCAGCGACAACTCTTCGAAATGTTCTTGGGACCAAGAATTTATCGGAAATCCTTTCAGAACGAGAATCGATCAGCCACATGATCCAATCGAGTTTAGATGAAGCCACAGACTCTTGGGGTGTTAAAGTGGAAAGAGTTGAAGTGTAAGTGTCATTAGAGTAACAATGAAAAGATCATTACCGAAAAAGTTTTCCATTTACAATCAATCACTTTGATGAATCTATTAATTGTTGTAAATACTAATTCTATCTCTCATTCACTTCCACTTTATTGATTGTTCCATTATCATCTTAACAGTAAAGATGCTCGTCTACCATTCCAGCTACAACGAGCTATGGCTGCGGAAGCTGAAGCTACAAGAGAGGCAAGAGCAAAGGTTAGTTCATCAATAGAAGACAAACCAAAATCAAGGAAAAGAAATTAATCTTTGATGTTTCCTACTTTTCCACCTTTAACTTTGATTTTCCCTACAATTTGAAACCTCTGATACTAATTGTTTTCTATTCCTACTTCTCCATATTAATTAAGGTAATTGCTGCTGAAGGTGAACAAAGAGCTTCCAAAGCACTGAAAGAAGCGGCTGAGGTCATAATGGCTTCTCCAGCAGCTCTACAATTACGTTACCTTCAAACTTTAAGTTCAATTGCTGGAGAGAAAAATTCAACAATTGTTTTTCCTGTTCCAATGGAATTGTTCAGAGGTTTCACCGTTGGAACGATTTCCAATGAAATTTAATTACTTACCAAACACAAACACTGTAACTCTTATCATGATTATCATAGAACCATTGGAAACTGGACACTAATTAGCTATGTATAGAACTTTCAATAAAAGACTTTTTTTATTAACCAGTCGAATACTCAAATTATAATCCAATTCAATGCTCAGATGATTCATCAAAAACAATAATTCGCAACACGAATTAATTTATAAGTAAAATGAATTAGATAAAATAACAATATCAATTCGCATCTCATTTAAAAGTTTGGTTTCTTTGATCAAGAAACAATTGATTAAGAATTGATTTCACATTTGAAAAAGAAGCGCATTTTTAATTGACTATTTACTCAATAGATGGCGCGAGTTTGAGTCTCCAAAACAAAACAAAATGAAAATTTTTTTGTTAATTGTTTTTAATTATGGATCAAATTAATTAATTGTTGTTCCTGGATTATTAACTTTATTTATTGAATTTTTTTTGCTAAATTAATGTATATTGTCTTGTGATGCCACCGAAGTGAGTCCATGTCGATGATTTTTTGGTTCTGTGATTACTAATTTGTGGTTTTTCTTTTTTCTTTTTCTTATTTTTTGTCTCTTTTTCATTTGTTTTTTTTAAATCGATCTTATTGAAGACGATATTTTGACGATGAAAGGAGCGCCAAACCAGGTATACTTAGCGATGAATTAAGAGCTGCCATTAATCTTCATGATGATAAGTTACCCATGTGGATATATAAGATGAGGGTTCTTGGTTATCCTCCCGGTTGGCTTCAACAAGCTGACATTAGTAATTCATCATTACAATTATTTGATGACACTAGTCAAGTTCATCAATCAACTACTTCCCAAGGTGATTATTGCCTTAACCTTTATTTTCTGCATTGGTTATTAATCCATTTATTTCAATTTTGTTTCATTTAGTTGAAGAACAAGCTTTCAATCCAGAATGTTTTGTTGAATTCCCGGGTTTTAATGCTCCTGTTCCAGAAGGAGTGAAAGATGTAAGTTGTTCAACTTGGATTCTAATACTAATATCGATAAAATTGCTTGATTTGGACTAATTTTCTCTTCAAATCTTTTCAATTAGCACTGTGAGATTCTGGGAATGCCTCCAATGCAAGGTTTCCAACAGCTTAATTTCGTTAAACAAACGATTCTCCCACCGAAGCCTGTCCCATATAAACGGATCAAATTGTCTAAAAATGACTCTGGTTAGTCATGGATTTTTTTCTTTTTCATCCAACCTTTTACAATCAGAATTATAATACTTTCTTAATCAATATTTCACAGATACAAATAATGGTTCTGTCTGTTTAGATGATGATGACGACGAAATACAAATTATCGAACCAAATTCGGAAAAAATAAAAACAATTATGATCCAAGATGTAGAAAAGGAAGAAGGCGAAGCAAGTGACTCAGATGATGAGATAATTGCCATTAGTAGTTCAATCGAAAAGCCAAAAGATCATCAAAATTCATCCATATCAATTATATCAACTTCAAGTGAATCGAAAACTAAATCGCCAAGTCCACGAAATGATTCAATTATCTTAATATCTCCAACTAAACCAGATTTAAGTCTTCCATCAACATCATCAGCATCTCAACAATCACCATTACTATCTCCAACAACAACAGAATTAATTCAAAAAATGTCGAAAAAGACAAACAAGAAGAAGAGAAATCAACTTTAAACGAAACAACATCAATAGAGATTCAGGGTGAAGATAAACAATCAAATGATAATCCGACTTCTCAACCAGAAGATTCACCTTCATCCACAATACAAGAACAAATTAAATCACCTTCAATGCGACTAATTGGTATGGGCTGCCCGACACCCGCTGATATTGATTGTAAAAAACCTCCGTTAGAAAAGTTTGCCGTTGGAATGGGAGAATTAATTTACTTTGAAAATCTTCCAACATCAACTGGAGTTTTCGATAAAATGAGACATGTGATCTTTAAAGTTCGTAAAAAACTTTCCGAATGAAAAGACTTTTAATTTACTAATCATCTCTTCATTCAATTTGTAAATTCATTCACATTTTCCTTAATTTTTTTCATAGAAACATTTATACAAATACATTAACATGAATTCAATCACTTTGAAAATGTACAAAGATTTAAATTTAATCACATGTGATTATAAAGCGACCAGGATGATTTTATAATTGTTCATCAGAGTTTCATGATTCTCAATTAATACTAAAACAATCATTTTTACTAAGTATTAATTTATTTTTGTTTAATTTGATCAATGAAATGTAGATGAAATATCGTATATGAAAGTTGTTTATGAGAACGAGCAAAAAAAGGTATTTAGTTAATTGACTAAAATTAATTGCTGATGATGATTACTAGTGACCAGTAGATGGAAATAACTTTAGTTAAAGTGTTGAAATTACCTATTACCTATGCTTCCGACGAGTGTACAAATGGATTAACTCCCATATTCGGTTGAGAGTTCATTGCTAAAATAACATGAGAATAGAGGAAAAGAAAGATTGTAAACAATTAAAGTTCTTGGACTAATAATTAAGGTGAAACAATTACCTGCTGGTGCGAATGCAGCGGCTGAATATCTTCCCATTAATATCGCAACTCCTTCGATTAAAGCTAATAAAGTTCCCCAATAACTGCAGATCCTAACATTGTCATGGTACCACCTGAATGGAGAAACATTTGATTGAGTTAAATTAATTTCAGTAATAGTAATCCTAGCTTCGATCTTGTTGATGTAAAGATTAATATCTTGCATCACATCGATAGTTATCTTGATCTTATTGATTGACTAGAACAATCTAATGACACTTACTACGCACTGCGAGGATTCCACCAGTGGCTGCACCACTGATTATCGAATTCCATGGATCTTCTTTCTTTCTAATTTGAATCAACGCACAATCAATTGTGGAAAAGTACCTCCCCAAACAGCGAAACTTCCGCCTATCATTGGTGCTCGCTGTCTAATTGCCGACCAACTACCATAAAATCTACGAGACATTCCCTAAACAATGGAATATACAGAGAAAGAGAAAGCATTACATTAGTAACAAAGATAACAAAAAGATAAAAATTCTAAAAGAAAATTTTGAAAACAAGAAAAGAAAAAAATCTCAAGGTTAAAGCAGCATGTTCGTTACATTGAATTACCAACACATGATGAAGATGATTTAACACTTACGGATGGAGCATTTCTAAAACCTTTAATTCCTTGGAAAACACTACCACCGATGGCACCCATGGAAAAAGCACCACCACAATCGTCAACAATACGCCAAGGGCTAAAAGACCAACCAATAAAAGAAAAAGAAAAGTAAACAATTAATCAAAAATTATTCTTCTAGAAAATTGAATAAAACACAAAACCAGATGAGGAAAAGAAACAAAAACTTTACCAAGGTTCTCTGGTATATTCTGCCATTCCAATTAACAATAAAATAATTTAGACACCCAAGTAAAAGTAATAGGAACCCGTTTAATAAACGAAAACAATTAAAGCTAATTAGAAACAATTACATTAATCAATAAACCTTCAACCCTTAACCTTCAATCAAATGGGAATCTCAAACTTGTGAGAAAAACATACCGCCGAGTTGACAAAATCTTCCAAGAGATGGCATCATTTCGAATTTCGGGGATCATCGTTTAAGAAAAAATTGTAAACGAACAAAAAATTTAACCAAAAATGAATTAAAAATTAATCAAGTTAATCCATTTTCAACCTGTGTGATTTTAGTTAAACTTTAATTACAATTGACCAGTTAACAATTTAATCTACTTACTGGACTGTTCCGTTTATGATCAAATGTATTCTTGTAATTAAATCAATCAGAAAAAGTGGAGTCAAGTTCAAATCAATCATCAATTTGTTGGGTTAAAGGTGATAAGTAACAGAGACAAACAAAACCTTGTGATGTAAATTAAATTTAATTGTTTGATTTAATTGCAGGTGAAAATGGTGACAACATAAATTATTTTTCCAAAATTGAGACCTTGACCTGCAGAGTGTTAATTTAGAAAGTTAATTAGTTTAAAATTAACGGTAAGTTTTCGTTTCTCAAGTGTTTTAATTTCTCTTTTTCTATATTTTCTAACAGTAAGATTTTTTTTTTCTTACCAAGAATCCTCACTGATTGTTATGGCTAATTTTCTGAAATTTTTCTTTAATTTTCTTAGGTAATTATGGTAAACCATCTGAAAATGATCGATTGATTGAGTAACCACATTTGGAAAATTTCCACCGTCATCCTGAGATTCATCGATTCTTTCCCTTTTTCTGTTAACCTCATCTTGGATCTTGTAGTGTGTCAACTCTTATTTAATTTAACAACATCGCTTCTTATTTAACTTTTTTTCTTCCAATCAGTGTATATATTACGTCTAAATGATTTGTCATATCAGTTGAGGTAGGAAATTTTCCGTGACTGTGACTTATTGGATTCAATATTTACCATCGTCCATTTGATTTAACCTTGCAAAGCTCAATACAGAGGGAGAAAAACGATCAACACAAAAGAACTGAAAATATAACCGGAAAAATGGCTTGGAAAAAGTTGTAACACTTTTCAATACGGAAATTGATACAAGGACAAATTTATCTCGGATAATCTCGTCATCATTATTTCGTCATCACCGAATTACGTATAAATCTATCTTCTGATCATGGAGAGATCATCAGCAATCAACTGGACCGAGTCAAATTCAATTATCTATCGATAATTACTAAAGAAAACGTTGTCTGGAATATTCCCTCAAGTTGATTTCCAATCTTATGGCGATTTGAAGATAATTAAACTCCGTTTCAATCACAATTGAAAAGAAATGAATTCTATGTTACTTATGGTTAAGTGACGAAAAAAACGACCGAATTTCGTTGGAAAAGAAAAAAGTTTACCAAAGAAACAGAACAAGATTATATGACAGAAAACGAGAAGTTATCAGATTTACCAAAGACTATTAATAACCAACCTATTTAATGCTGACCATTCTGATGACCAATTGAATATTAATATTTTCTCCTTCTTTCAATGTAAATCATTTGTTTGTTTTCACAACTTGCTTTCCAATAGCATGGACAGTTCAATCACGAACTAAATTCTGACCGTGACTTTGTCAGTTTAATTCTAATTGTTGTACAACAATCAACATATTCATCGAAATAATTGTTACTTTATATCAAATTTTTCTCGAGAAAACTTTCTTTTCCAAATGTAAACCAAGGTGATCTTTTTTTTTATATCAATCTAATTGTCTCCGCTATTTTTGGTCTATTTACTGGTGTTGCTTCTGCCGTTTCTGTTAATGAAATCATCATCATCGACATGATCAACCATCTATCACTCATTTTATCTCATCAATACAATAATAACAATTAACGATATCTAAGTGCATCAAATAACAACAACTATCAAGGTAAGTTTATATTAGATTTTGTGTTATTAATAATTTACTATTTTCTTTGTGTCGATTGACAATGATGATAATAGAGTTTAGAATTGATTCAACCTTCCTAATTTTACCTTGATCATCCATTATTAATTAATTTACCATTTAATTTTGCTTCCTCTCTCATCATCTACATCCATGTTTCTCTCTCTCTCCTCTCTCTCTCTCTCTCTCTCTCTCTCTCTCTCTAACACTTTTTCATCTCACGTAAGATGATCTCTTGTTATGATTAGTTTATTTTTGATTAATCATAAACCTCAATACGAACCTTTTAATTATCATTTAATTGTTAGATATACATTTCACATTGATTAACCTTAAACTTTACTATCATTTACTCATTCTCTCAGCATGTTTGAACCATATCTGATTTCATGATAAAATTTTGTATCATTATCATTTCGATTTATGATAAACATCCGGTTCATAATACATGTATTCAGTTAACTGATCAACAACAACAATTGATTGTTAAATGATTGTCAGTCTAATATTTAACAATTGAATTGAAGTTCAACAATTCAATCTGTTGACAAGTTAATTTATAATCTGTCATCATATATCTGTGATCATATTAAATACTAATAATTACAATCATTATGATATTATTATAATACAATAATAATAATAATCTTGAAATTTTTCAATTTCATGCATTGTGATTGAATTTATTCATAGATGAAACATATGATTATAAATCAGAATTGAATACAAACAGAACTTGAATCTTGTTTTTTTTTAGTTTTGAAAAAAATAGAAAATCTTATGATTTAATCAGTAAATCATCTGATCTCACCTTCAATTGTCTAGCGATGATTTAATCAAGATGAATAACAAACCACAATTTCCAGGAAATCGCCGGAAATAATTGATGAAAATTCTTTGAGTGAATCTTCAATTCAGTCAACAATTAGCAAATAGCCTTGTTCTAATAACAATTATCTTCAATTGTATTGTTTTTAATGAAATATTAGCATGAAAATTTATCATTTTCTGACCAATTCTGAGTTTTTTTTTCATCAAACAATCACTACACTTACTGTTTACTTGTATCATCAGGTTCGTATATTATTAGCAAGAAAATGACCTTAATTATTGATTAACCTTATGCCCAGATCTCGAAGTGTTAATAAATTACAAATATCAAATTAAAGTGATTTACTTGACCAACCTTGAACAATAGTATAATTGTGGTGTAAGCCAATCAAACATGATAATGGTTAATCAGATTTGATTGTTTTACCTTTTTTCATTATTGACTGAATCCTTTTCCAATAATAATATTAATCATATAAACATTTATATAACTAAGTTCATTTACTCCAATTAGCTGATTGATTTTGATTATTTGTGCTCAATTACAATCATATCAATAACAATAATAATAATAAAAAAAAGGTAAACCATTCATACAGGAAACAGGATTAATGAAGAATGATGTTAATCAAGTTAGTTGATTAGTTAATCATAAAAAAAAGTTTGGTGAAAAATTAGAAACTTGATAAAGGTCAAAAAATGACTTTAGATTGTAAAAAAAGATCCGAGTAGAGGTTAATTATAATCATGATTAAAGGTCTCAATCAAGTTGCGATTTTGCTATTTTCAATCAAATCAAATCACAATCAGCAAATTGTGTATGTGTGCACTTAACTGTTTGGACCAAAAAGATTACTATTAAATTTAATCAATTGAAACTGTTGATAAGTTTATTAAGTAATCATTTCAATATCGCAAAATTTTGGTACTTTAATTCAGTTAATCAACAATCAATTTGATTGTAAGCTTAAATTGTTGTTAATATTATAACATAATCCATTATATCACTTTTAATTTGATAATAATGACATTGAATGATTTGATTGATTTACTTGGATTAAACTAATCCAATAGTTAAGCTCACCTTGTGATTATCAACAATTAACTTAAATTGTTGATTCGAAGTAAAAAAACAGGAATGCAATTTACTAATAATATCATAATTAAAGGTTTCTATTAGTCTTAATTGTTGATAATTTTATTATCCGACAATTGAACTTTTTGTTGTCGTTCTTGATTATTTATCTGATTAGTTAATCAACTGGTTAATCAATTGTTATTTGGATCTAATGATAAAAAAAAACTTTTTAATTGCTTATGATTTGATGATAATTGTTGACTATCGATATTTAATCATAATTGATTTCCGTTTTCATGTTAATCGTAATTATTTTCCCAATGTTGTGTTAGTTGATATATTTTTTTCAAGTGTATTTTAGTTAATTAATTGTTCAAAACAAATTGTACACTTAATTTTCACCTTGATATTGACTAGATAATAGTAACAATTAACTACAATCATTTGAACCACTTGATGAAGAAAGTTTTACAAATTATCAATATTGCAACAATTAGTTTATTGTTATCTGAATGTTTGAATAGCAAAAATTTGCTGTCATTTTTTCTTTCACTCAATTAATTTGATTTAGTTGATTAACTTTAATCATGATTCAAATTTAATTTAGATTCAGATTGAACTTTGAAACAAATCAAGGTTATAATGGTCATTTCGGTGAGAAAGTTAAATTAACTCGTTGATTGTTAATGATTTGGGAACGAGTTTCAAGAAGATAACTAAAGACAGTAGTATGTAAATACAAATTAAATTGCAACAATTAACTTAATTCTCATCAATTTTTCTGCTATTTTGGGGTTTCCAGATACCTATTTACCATAGGTGCTAATGAGATTCAAGGTTCTCAACTAATCACAATTAACATCCAACAATCAACAACATGAGAGACCAGTTTTGACCAGCCGATTGTTAACTTTCCCGATTGATCAATAGCTAATTGTTGTCAGTGATGAAACTAAATTTATCATACAATTACCTTGAGGATTTTAAGTTTCAAATGTGATAATTAAGATTCTCTGTATTAAATTAAATTAACACAGCAATTAACTTTGATCATCTCCAAGATTGTATTTTTCAATTTGAATTGATGGTGAAACTGATTACAAAATGATTAATGTAATTATCAAAATTGATGATTTCACTTTTAGTATAATTAATTTTCAATAGATTTACTAATCAGTCAGAATTGAGTTTAATTCAAATTGTTCAATCAACTACATAATCTAAAAGGAAATTAATTAATCCAAATCTCATATCGATTTACCTCTTAATCAATAACAAAATGTATTAATATTTAAATGATCAAGATCAAGGTTTCTAATCAGTTAATTTAAATTGTCAAATCCTTTAATCATCAAAAACATTTCAAAAGCCTTCAAGTCAATCATTAATTAATTGTCAATAATATTTCTTAATTTCGAGTCAATTGTTGATCTAAATTATTGATTCAATAATATTAACTTTTCCAATAGCTCAAGATTCAATTTAATTAAAAGATTTACTATTATTGGGCAATTTAATTTTCTTTGATCAATTATAATTGCGTTAAGATTAAGATAACTGTAAATTTAATTACAACGATTTACTATTTATTGAAACAAAATCTTATTTTCTTGTATATTTCAAGGTTAATTCAGTAAATTATCATCAAATTGCTATTAATAAATTGAATTAATATAACATTTTAAACAACTTGTTATCCTTGATTGTTAATAATTAACTAATTATCAATTGATTACATGAAAGTAACTTTTAATGAAAAGTGATTCTTAAATGTTAATATTAAACTTTGCTCCAATTGATTGTTGTTAATCAATTGAATTGAACTGAATTTTTTTGTTGAGAGTATTCAACTTACAATCACAACAAATTAATAAATAGTAATTGATCAGTTTGATGACAATTAAGGAAGTTCATCTAATTGAGAGATCAATGTATTTTTTTCATACTTGTGTAGGTGTTGATAGTAACTGGATTTAAGGTGAATAGTAAATTATTTATTTAAATTATCATGGGAATATAACTGAATTTAAGGTTGATTAACCTGTTGATGATTAACAATCAATCAGACTATTCATTTGTAAACAGTAACGGTAATCATGAGTTGAGAAAATCTCAGGAAAACAATTGGATTAAATCAATTGTGATAATCAGTTTCACTTTGAATTTACCCATTCAAATCAAGAAAAATCAATTTCAGCTTAATTGTTAATTTACAATTAGCTGTTAACTATTATCCGAAGCAAAAAGAAAACATAAACAATTGAGAAAAAGTAAAATTATTTCCTCAATTAAATTGAGACTATTAAATAATGTTGATTGTCAACAATTAACAGAAAAAAAAGAGCCTAAATTACAGGTAACAATTTGATGCACATTATGAACTTACCGCTAATTAGTTGATTAACAATTAAGAGACACTGTTGGTGAAAAAAAAGTAACCAACACAAGGAAAAATTCAGTTCATTCAATTAAATTGTTAGTGATTTGAATTAACAATTGATTGTAACAATTTCATCAGCGACTGAGTAATATTGATATTCCCGTATAATAATTGCTTGTTTTGATCATCATGATGATTGGAATCTCAGGAATTAGGTCATGATCATTGAATGACAATTAAATTAATGCTCGATTATAATAAACATTGGGAAAAGCGACTAAATCAGACAAACCCTTGTCTTAATCGTTAATTATATGAGAGAGAAAGTTATTGATTCTGTTTATCCAGTTACCTTATTTGTTGAATTATTTATTTTTACCAATGTTAATCAAATTAGATGATATTGATTATCTATCGGCGAAAGATAATTAAATCATTAGTAGTAGTACCTCAATGATCATCTTATTACTACTAACAAACTAACACTTTCACTGAAATTAATCAAACACTTAATAGAAACGTGAAAAAAGATGAAAGTAGCTCATAAGATAAAAGGATAAGAATAGATTAAATTATCTAGTTAATTATGGTGATGAGAGTTAATTGTTAATAGATAAACAGTGTTAATCCATTTTAATCTTAAATTATCATTACTGATACACAGAAAGTATATTAAAAATAGATGTACATTAAAAATGGCGACCAAAACTCTTGATTAACTGTAAATGTTTCTACATTTAGCGACAATTAACCCTTCTTTTTTGCTCTATCGTTAATTGTTTTCCCATAATCTCTCAATGGTAAATCAAATTGATTATTTGATTAGTGATTCGATTTGTCAGTTTGATTTGATTTTCCATCAAATAAGTACGAAAGTCAACACTGGTCATTGTAGAGATTTTTATTCATAATTATCTTAAGATTAATCTCTTGGTATCTCTGGGATTAGAATAATTAATTTATTAGTTTAAAGTCGTTGATTAGCTCGAATAAAGTTAATTAAAGTCAATTGTTTCAATTTCATTGCTGAATGGGTGAGAGGATGAAAAGAAAGAGACAATTTATCTTACTGTCTGTTTACCTTTCTTTTTTCTTCCATCTTCTCTTTCTTTCTTGCCTGTCGCTCTTTTGAAATTGATTCAATTTCAGAATCATGTTTATCTGATCAGAATTTGTGTTTTGTTTACATGAATTAACCTCACTTTCACTATTCAGATTAACTTATTTACTTCAATCAGCTCAGTTTATGTTTAATCCTCCACCATCATTTCCACTACGATAATTATTTCCACCATCACCTTCATCTTTTCCTCCTCCTTTTCTAATTTGTCTCCACCTTTCATATTAATAACTCTGGCTTAATCTTCATCTCTAACTTTCATTGTCATCATCTAATTAACTTTAATCATCGATAATCAAGTCAAACAATTAATTTCTTTAATTTTCTCCCAACAGCTCACAAGTTGCTCATCTCCAAATATCAACAACAACAACACCAACAACGTTATTGGCTCCCTCATTTCTCTCTCTCTCTCTCTCTCTCTCTCCTCACCTTCTCCCTCCATTCAACATCTACTTCTTGGTCTCTCTGACGATTTTCCTTCTCACTCTTGTGCCTCATCTGAACATCATCTCTCTTATTCTCTCACAGTTTCTCAATATTTTCAAATTTCCATTGAAATATCAAACAAATGACAACATAACCAATCATCTCGATATATTTTGCTTTCATCAACATCATAACTATCATCAAGTTAAACTTCAACATAATCAACATTGGAAAACCAGCAGAAAAAGTAAAAACAAGTTACCAACATTAACCAGTCGCTTAATTGTTGCTGTTAAATTTTGGTTTTGCAATTTTCTGTTGTTGATCAACTTTCACCATTCTCACTGCTCCCTTCATACAACTGCCTTCAAGCTAATCTGAAATTCAATTCAATTTAATAAGTTTCATTTGGTAATATGACGAGAATCAACTTGGATAATTTAGTTAACTTATTGTAATTTAATTTCTTGCTCTCTGTGGTTAATCAAACAAGTTATAGTTTTCATTTTTTAATTGTTGACAAAATTTACAACCAAATTGAAGATGGAAAAAGTTTCAAGTTGAATTGATTTTATCAACAACAGTAGTTGGATTATCATAACAAAAAAAAACTCACCATTAAATCAACAACAATCAACAAGTGCAATAACAACAACAACCATTGTTAACACAGAAATCCAATCAACCTAGTGAACAATTAAACTCAATCAATTTACTATCAGTTGACAAATATTTTCATTTCTATCAATCATGCTGACGATTGTGATTTGATTGTTTCGTTCAATTGTTGGTTGAAAATCACATTGAATTAACCAAGAAAAATATCAGAAATTCATCATCATTTTCTGTTACAATTTAATTCACTTTCATTCAATTGAATACACGATTAATTGTTTGAAACTTTTTCTCTCCTTCTTATTTACAGTTAGTTAACCACAATTCATAAGTGTAATTTATTTTTAATTGTAAAATTGTATAACTTTGTTAATTTACGTAAACAACAATATCGACAATGACTCTATTGGCAACCAGAATAATCGCTTTGATTGTATTGTTTTTTTTAACCTTGTTGATGGGAATCGGTCCAGTTATTTTGTTCCGTTACTGGAATCGCAGGAAACAGGCCAAGACCCTTGAAGTTACTGGTCGAAAAGGATCTTCCTCGAAAGGTTCAATGCAAAAATCGACTGCAAGTGCGGTTACACTTCAATTGTTGATGTTTTTCGGCGGCGGAGTTTTACTGGCTACATGTTTCGTCCATCTTATACCCGAAGTGAGAGAAAATTTTGACCACTATTTCCATTCCAAGGAAGGGCAGGCCTCATTCCTGGGACCCAAAGCTTCAGCTTCATCTCATTCTCATGATCATTCCCATGGAAGTGAACATGATCTACCAGGGGCACATGAAATTGATCCGGAACATCATCATCATGATCACGACCATGACCATGGTAATGAGAGTAATAGTAGTGATTCAATGGGAATTAATTACAACGGAAGTGAACCGGCAACCGATGAAACTGATACATCAGCCTCATTAAAAGCAACCACCGGTCATAAGCATAAACACAAAGTTCCCTATGTAGAGCTTGCAATTTGTGGTGGTTTTTTCCTCATCTATTTCCTTGAGGAGATTATTCACCTTTTAATTGGTAATCACCATGAAAAAGATGATGATGCCTCTATTGACACCGGATCGACCGTGATTGACAAGCCCAGACCAAGTAATGGAACTATTCAAATGTCCTTAAACTGTGAACCTTTGCCCAATGGTAAAGGTCAAAATCCACCTTACCTAGTGTCTTGTGTTAAAATACCTTCAGCCTCTCCTCATTATGGAACCATAGGTTATGATAATCATGGTGTCGATCTTAAAGATGATTCAGTTTATCCAGGATTCCGTCCAACACCAATCGAAGCATTTACCGATTCTCGAGGAAATATAAGTCCAACCTCGAGCTCCTTTGATATGCTCAATAAAACAAATTCCTCTTCCGCTTCAACAACCTCATCATTAAATCGTCAACCTCTTTCAGTCCGTTTTCTTCGTGGTTTTGTTACCATTGTTGCCTTTTCCGCTCATTCGGTTTTCGATGGGGTGGCCATTGGTCTTCAGAGTACAACCTCACAATTATGGACAATTTTCTTTGCCATTTCTATGCACAAACTGGTTGTCGCTTTTGCGATTGGCCTTGAACTCTACGAACAAACCGCAAGTTTAGCCTTAACATGGATCCATATGATTCTGTTTTCCATCATGTCCCCCATTGGAATCTTAATTGTTATTCTCACCGAAAGAGAATTCAAATCACAAGATAGTCCAGTTATCATCCTTTTAAGTGCCGTTGCAACGGGAACAATATTGTACATTGTTTTCTTTGAGATTCTCCAACGAGATCGATGTTCAAAAATTCCTGGAATTGTTCAACTTTTCATCTTGGTCATTGGCTTTACCTGTATGAGTTGTTTGACTCTTTTGGTTGATCATTAAAAGAAAAAGGTAATCATCATGATTATCCTTTCCTCTTTATCATCTTCATCATCATGACTCTGCTATTGCAAGAGAGATACTTTTACTTTGCAGTTTCTCATAAACTCTCTCTTTCTTTTCTTTCTTACTCTTCCTGTTTCAATCTCTTTTTCCTCATCATCTTTTCCGCATTTAGTCTTATTATTTATCCTTTTTTTCTTCTCCGTCTTATCTTCACCATCATCTTTTCTTCTTCTCTTCCGACGACATTCAACTTCAGAATCAACATGAAAACAATAACGCCAAAGGGATAACTCTGAATTGAAACTTGATTCAATCTCTCCAATCACTTTATCATCAACATGAAATAATCAACACACACAAGAAAAGGAATCAAGGATTTTGACCTAACCAACGAGCTACGGGCCTCAAACATATACAACAAACTTAATATTATCATTCTCATCATCATCATCATCATCATCCTACGTTCAGATCTCATCATGTTTCTAACCCTCTTTCTTTGTTTTCACAGTTAACATCAAATGAATGAAACATTTTCTATTGATCAATTTCAATATCAATGATAATCATTTCATGACTCAAGCAGATTTAACATCTACCTGTTCTTGCTGATACATCATCAACATACATTTGAAATAATTGCCCAACCATCAATAGCAGCTAAGGTCCGGTTCATTAATCTATTGGAGGACAGAATTAATAAAAAAAAGTTTATATCGCGATGAAAAAAAACAACCACCAAAGATTAACGATTGTAAACAAGATCAAGAGAGAGCATCTAAAGATGAGAGAGAGAGAGAGAGATGATCATCTAAAATTGAAGATTAAGATGATAACGATGATAACGATGACTTTGACCGAGATACCAAGCAACAAGTGTGAGGATAAAGAGGAGGATTAAACTCAAAAGGAATCGTATCTTTATAACGAGATGGAAACAAATTAAAATGATGATGCCTAAAGTTGATGATACAAATAAATTATCATCGTTTTCACGAAATCGTTGCAGCCAATATTATCAGAATCGTCTCCCAATATCATGATTTAGCGAAAAAAGGAAAAAAAAGAAAGTCAAGCAAAAGAGAAAGTCACAAAAAAGAAAGATCATCAAGAGGATAAACAACAGCATCAAATTCATTGGAGAGAGAGACGATGATGATGGAGGAAGATAAAAAATTGGTTCATACTGTCACCAGGTATGGAATCATAATTGAAATGATTACCATCCAAGCATGGATCATTTTCATCCTCATCATCATCGTTGTCACCATCTTCTTATTTCATATCTCTCTCTCTCTCTCTCACTCTCTCTCTCACTCTCTTATCATCTTCTCCCTTTCTGTATTTATCTTGTCTAATTTACTTGATGAAAGTTATTTAAAGAGATTAATTATTTAAATAACTTTTATCTTCATCTAATTGGTGAACCATAACTGTATCTACCTGTATTAACGGTTAACTAACTGTGCGTATGAATAGGTTAATTAGAGATAGCAAATTGATGACCACTTAACAATCACCGTAACAATTAACTTTCCATTGATTAAACATTACGATGTAATATAAGCATTCAGATTGACAGGAATTACAATATCTAAATTAATATCACAATTAACTAGTGAAACTCAATTTTTATATTTAGTTATTGAATTTAGTTGATTGTTGCAAATTATTTGTACCTTATTTTTTTTTGTTAATCAATTAATTAGCATTCCTAAAGTAATAGTATTTTAATTAATCAAGTTGATATGATATATATTTTTATCAATTACTGTTGATTAATTGTAAACATTTTCAATTACTCGATGATGATATTAACTATTATCAAACTTTTTTCATTAAGTTAATCATTTACAATCAATTTATTATTTGATTCTAAACAATTGCTTATCTTTCAGTCCGACAATTAAACGCACAAAAGCTTAATTGTAATAATTAACTTAATACAATTAGTGATTTAGTTTTTTTTTGTTTCTTTCCACAATCACAATTACCTTCATCAGACCAATTTAATTAGTTGATAAAGTTTATTGAGCTTATCGTTAACCATAAATTGTAATGGTTACAACTACTTTATTGTAATTAACTTTAATCATAATTAAGACAAACTTAATTTTAATCATAATCATTAACTTTTGAATATATTGAATATGTAATGTTGATTAAAAGTCAAATATTATCAATTAAAACTTTGCCTCTCTCTCTCTCTTTGCTGATTGTTTGTTAAATTGTAACAATTAGTGACAATGATTTATAATTAATAGTAACGGGTGATCATATTGAGTCTCGGTTTAATTAATTAGTAACAATAAGTAATCAATGACAAAGAAAAGGTGAAAAAAATAAACAAAGTGAAAAATTGTCCCAATCAACAATTAAGGTAAACAATAAACACCAACAACAATTAACTGATTGTTAAAGATGTAAATTAACTTATGATTTGAGTTTTTTTTTACTAATTATCTAACCTTCACAGTATTCTGATTATGCACAATTAATTGTTAACAATTATCGAGGTAATGATTGCAATTGCAATAAAGAAAACAAATCGAAACAATTTAATCATCAATACGAAAACAACAACAAAAAATGTAAATTAACTCAACAATTTAAATTGTAATTGTTATAAACTCAATCTTGAACTGTAGTTAATCAAGATTTCCAGGTCATCAGTTGATTAAAGTTAATTGTAAAGATTGGGTGAAAGTTTTTTCACTGAAACAATTAACAATTTTATCAACTTTTTTTCCAATCCAATGATTTACTTTAATCACTTTCAAATACATCAACAATTTACTGATTATCTGTGATAATTTTGATTACAATAAGATTTTAGACTTAAATAATTGGTGATCAACTGATGAGAAAAGTAATTGTGATTTTCTTGTATTCAGGTTTGTTAATTTTGTTCGTGATCAATTTGTATTGTTTTTACTAAAAACTTTTTAGTAATGTGTTGCCACAAACCCACAGCAATCAAGTGATGATGATGATTAAAGATGGACAGTAATAAATCATTGGGATAAAAAAGGTCTATGGTTGTATGATTGGATAGACAATCAAGTTGAAGGAAAATGCAATCAAGTAACCGACAATAATCAAAGTCTATGACAAATTAATAATTAAAAGTTTATACTAATCATATGCACTCCTGTTTTCGTTTAACGCAATTTTTAAAACCATTGAAGATGAAATTAAAGCCTTGATAAGCTGCGTGTTGAAATGACATTAAGAATTGGTTAGTATCTTATTTAGTTGATTGATAACTTTTATTATCATCTCGTTGACAAACAATTTTTACCTCACTGTTAATTAAATCTTTACTTTGCTGATTAATCATGATGATCAATAGTTGATGAAGTTATATACAAATATTAAACATTAAGATTGTATAATTATTAGATACTCAAGTGAGCGAAGATTTTATTAGTCGGCTGGTAACAGTCAACAAAGAGAAGAGCAATTTGGTCAACAACAATAAAAACAACAAAATCAAGAAATGTCAAATGCTGGGACGACTTGATTGGATGAAATGGCAATTTCTAATCATGTACAAATGCCTCATGATACAATGATTGGGTTGGACGGAAAGGAGATTCCTCTTGAAGAAGTTGGTGCTAGCAATCAAAGAGAAGAACAATTTGGCCAGCAACAACAACAACAACAACAACAACAACATCAAGAAATGTCCAATGATGAGACGACTCGATTTGATGAAATGGAGATTCCTTTTGCTGAAGTCGGTGGCAACAGTCAACAAAGTGAGGAGCAATTTGATCATCAACAACATCAACAAGAACCAAATTATGACAACGACATAAGTGTTACTGAAGAAACAAGCCCTTTCATTACAATGGTCAAACCCAAATGAGAATTTTAACAGCAATCAATTCAAAAAATATGTTAGTTGATACTTTTTATTATTTAGAAAATAACAAATTTTTACCAATCAAACTGCTACAAGATACCAATTACTTCAAATGTACATACTTGATGTACAAAATTCATCACTAGCATTTCCAACGACTTCAGAGCCATCAGTAGCATCAATACTACTAACGACTTCAGAGCCATCGGAGATATTGGTATCTAATGAATCAGTTAATGGAATTTTAAAATTTCCATTGCCAAACAAAAATAATACATGATAAATATATAGTTGATCATCATCCAAAAACAATCCTGGCAAAAAATATTTTATAATAATTTAGTCAAAATGTCATTTGAAAAAGTTTCAAACAACCAAATGAAAACATGGATAGAACCGAGTATTCTTAAAGAAAAAGATAGTCGCAAATAGGAATACCAGTGTGGGCTGCCAGATATATGTAGTTACAAATCAAACAAGAAAGAGTTGATATATAGATATCACAACGAGATATTTTGTATGCGTATGTTTAATTACCCCAAACCTATTCCAACATACGCCAACCTTACACGACATTTTGCATAGAAAAAAATCTTTTTTAAGCTAGCAAAAATTGTAGAAAAATAAAAAGACATTGCGATATTAATCTATTTATTTAAAAAAATTCAAAAATAGTTGTACAGATATAAAGAAAATATCAGAAAACCAATGTCATAAGTGGTCAGTGTCAAAAGTTAGCAATTGATGAAAAAGACGGGCGTTAAATTGACCAAATTAAAATGTTAATTAGATTAATAAAAGGATTAGATGGAAACGAAAGAAAAAAGGGGAAGAGAGAAAAGGGTTGCATTATGATGTTCGGGGCAATGAAAGAGAAAGAGGAAAGAAAGAGCATCAGATGAATGTGAGTTTCAATTGTATAACCTCACGCCCTGAGATATCAAAACTTCGAGAGTTAATCAAAGATTTGATTACTTTGTGAAACTTGAGGTTGACAAAATTTTTGTTCCGTTTGATCAAAAATAAAGACAGAAAAGATGACATTCATGAATTTGATCACTTAAAATTCGATAACTTACTCAGAAAAGCGATCATGTTGATCTCATAATTTTCCTTGTTTTAATTAATTTGATTGCCAATAATTTATGATTAACAGGTAGAGGTTGAAATTCATCTATTTTTGTCACATAACAAGTGATAAGTGAAGAGCAAGATTTTAACTTAATTATTCAATAATTTAATTATCATCAAGACAATTGTTTCACATTTGTCATCGACTGTAAAGATTTAATCATTTTCACAGGAATAAACTTTATTTATTCTGATTGCGTTTACTGATTGATAGACAAACTATCAGTTTCTGTGATATAACAATAATTCAGCTGATTCCCTGAAGGTTTTTTTGATAATAATTTCAAGAGTTCAGTGAGTTAGTTAGTTAATTGTTGTCACAACCACACAGCAATCAAGTGATGATGATGATGAAAGAGTGTCAGTAATAAATCATTGGGATAAAAAAGGTCTATGGTTGTATGATTGGATAGACAATCAAGTTGAAAGAAAAATGCAAGCAAGTAACCGATAATAATCACAATCTATGACTTGACTGTGACAAATTAACTAATTAAAAGTTCATACCAATCATATTGTTACTTTTTTTTGTCTCAATCAATCCACTAATTGTTTTAAAATCATCATCAGGTAAGTACTGTAGTCACAAATATCAGCTGATTCACCATGAAATAATTAATTAATGTTGAGATCACAATTTCCAGTTAAAAGATAATTAGTTAACTAATATTTTATAAACATTTCTAACAATTAGTCACATAATTAACTTTGAAGCTCATAAACCATCGTGATCAAAAGTCTTTATACCATTTTGAGATTTTCTCTGTCATTTAGTGAACAATTTGATGTCCATTATGGTCAAGAATTCAATGTATCTAATTGTCGATTTTAATTCAAGATAAGTTTCGATTTAAAATTAGAACGAAACTTTTTCCTTATTCATTGGACTCGATGCTGGTGCTTCCTCCTGGTGAACGTTTACAACAACTATTGAGTTCAATCAATAGACATTCAGAGTTCTGTAAATTCCCGATGGACCCATGAGTCGAAGGCCAATCCATCGCCATGAATATCGAATTAGATCAACTATGATGATAGATATCAAATATTCGGTAACATCTTAGTTTATGGTAGTGGGCGGGTCAATCAGCTAATTACTACATTAGTCCTACGAATGAAAATTAACTAATTATTCAATTAATTGTTTTGTTTTAATTAGGTTAGGTTAGGTCCCAATATTAAGGGTCACCCTTGATTAGGAAAGGCCCGGAGGGCCTAAGACAATCAAATCGTAGCTCTCATTTGCTTAATTGATCAAAAAATTTATTGGATAAGTGTGAGAATTAGTCGATTGTCCGACCCACTACCATAAACTAAGATGTTACCAAATATTCTTCAGACGCTCTCTCTCTTTCTCTCTCTCTTTGACGATTATTATAAGAGGCAAGTTGTGAACATTTCTAATAATCGAATTCGAAACTTTCTTTTCCTTCCTTTAGTTCTGCTTGAATTTGTGATCCTCGGCTCTGGAAGCAGTTTCTTGACATTTTCCCCATTTAACTAGTGCGAAACCTTTATTATAAGAATTAGGAAGAGGACCGAACCAGAATTAGCATTCTTATTATCATACAATAAATTATTCATGGATAAATCATCATGTTAGAATGAGGAAGCTGAGAAAAAATTAATCAATTGAACTAAGAATGATATTCAGATGAAGTTTTTTTTATCACAATAATCATAATCAACTTTGTTATGGTAATATTTTGAAATTACGATCAAATTTTTGAGAAATCATATTTTTGATTGTTTGTTAGATGTGTATCTGTATTAAATCAAAAACTTCAAGTTGTCTTAATCATCTCACAAGGATGATAACCGAATGGTATGTATACTTGGAAGGATGATGAGAAGGAGGAAGAAGATGAAAGGAATCACCATGGATGACAATGTAAACATGATGACGATGATGAGAAGTAGAGAAGCAAAAAGATTTCTGAAAAAAGGATCATGGAAATTTGAATATTTCTTGGTTACCACCATTCACGAATTAATCTGATTTCTTAATGAACGTTTTGATTACCAAACAAAATCGTGAAGATGAAGAGTCTAGGAGAGTGAGAGAGAAGGGTGAAGATGATGGAAACATTAACATGATAAATGTCATAGTACAAAAAGAGAGATGAAGGGAACATAATCAAGAGACATTAAGATAAGAAGATGCGGAGAAAAAGTAAATGATGGAGAGAGCGAGAAAAAAAGAGAGAGAGAGAGAGAGTAAAAAGACAAAAAAGATAAAGAATCAGGCCAAGCATGATGATGAGAAGAAGAGCAAAAATTACATCGAACAGTAACAAAATCGTAAAGTTCAAATAGTCCTAAAAGATAATCCAAGAATCCAAGAATCAAGAATCGAAGAAGAAAAAAATTGACCAAATAATCAAATAAATCCATTGATATATAAGTCGCAACAATTTGGGTCAAAAAGCAGTAAAATTAATCACTGATCATCCTCATCCCGATCTCAATGTTGATTAAGATGATGTTCATTGAACAATAATCAACAATTAAGCCAATAACTCATTCTGATCAACTGAATGATACAATTTTTACCTAACCATTGATAGTAAATTGTAATATTATTATTTTCAAAAAGGTTATAACAATCAAGTT